AAAATCAACTTATTTTCACAGGGCGGGAAAAAAAAAAAAAATTCAAGTACAGTCACCATTTTTCTCTTTGGAACTTAAGTACTTTAGTATGTTTATTCAAAAACAGTAACTTTCGAACCCTTATTTATTTAAATTTGAAGTTATAGTTTAGTTTGAAAACATTACCTTTAACCCTGATAAATAAATTATTATTATTTAATATGCATTTCCGTAAAACACATTTTACCTCAAGGTGAATAAATTGCCCTTCCAACTTAGTACGATTGGCTAAAACTTGTACATAATTGTATCATCCATAGATCATGAATGCCAGATTATTATATTTTCTTAATAAAGTTTTACCGTCGAAATATGCGAAGAAGTTTCATAACAGAAGACTTCTGACTACAAATCATTTCTAAAACTGCATTCTTTACTAGTGTAAAACACATTTTAACCAAGAAAAGAAACACTACCTCAAGTACACTTTTTTCTGTTGTAGTCATTGCTAATAAAGTCTTAAAATCAATACCAAAGCACATTACGTCCAACACGTCAAAACAACCAAAGCTGAAATGCTTTTTATAGTGGCAACATGAAACAGTAAGTTTCACAGCATATAATGATAATATTACCAAAGCATATTTTACTGCCACTTAATTGTTCACCACATTTTACTTCACAAACCAAAATGCTTTACATTAGGTGAAAATAATTTAAGCAAAAATCACAAAAAAATGCACAAAATTAGTTTTTCAGAACTAGCTCTTTTATTATTAAAACAAAAAGACATTTTAAAAACCACCATGTGGCCTCAACTTATCTATTACTTTTTCTTTTTTAAACCCAACAACATGTGTTTGGGTATCTTGATTACAATTCCACAACTACTGACAATATGGAATGTTATTTCAATAAACCACAACATTGTTTAAGATAAACTGTGTATTTTGGCACAAAATGTTAGAAAATATGTAGTAAACTTTGAATTCTACAATAGCACTGCCTAATTACCTTTTTAAAATCCTACTATAAACACAAATGGTTCCATTTTTCTATTACTAAACTGCTGATGGAAATAATAATGAAAAATAAAACATGTTATACTTTCAAAGTTTACATCTCCAAAAATCTTTTTTACCCATAACCCCTCCCCCCCTGTTTTCACTCTTAAGCTTAGAGGTAAGATATTATCTAGAAACACTTGTTGTCTTTTCTCTCATACTTTGAAATATGTAGTATAATATTTTAAGTGCATTCTATGCAAGAATATACATACTAGAAAAACCTACAGGTCTGTGCTCACAAAAAACAAACTTAATAATCATTATCCTAAAAAGCTGCACCTTGTGCAATGCTAAAAGCTCATGGTACTAAAATACAGGGTTAAGCAAGTACATTATTTCACATTAACAAGAAACTGAAAATTTTTGGGCTGTATTTTATCTATGATGAATAAACTCTCTATCAACTAGTACCTGAGTCTTAAAACTTCTGGATACATAATCACCAGTTCTGCTACTCCTCAGAAGCATTTTTACTTTGTTTTGTTCATGATTTATTCCTTCTGGCTATTTGTCAATGACAGAATATGACTGATGTAAAAAAATATATATAAAAAACCCATATTCACAGTAGTGTAACATAAGAC